AGACCTAGATAACTAGATCTAGCGTGCTAGAGCGCGTCCGAATCCTCTCTTAGGCGCTATAGATCCTTCGACCGCTATATAGTAGTAGCCTTTACGTATCTAAACACTTTTTCTATCGTTAATGCAATTACTATAGTCCTTACGAAGCTCCTTAGGATATAGCTAGGAATCGTCGAGCAGAGGGTAAGAGGAATATATTCGAGGAAGATAAGATTATATATACGTAATAGGGGGGAGTAGTGTAATTGGAGTGTATTGCACCTAGAAGCCGCAAGGCTATCGGTTCGAATCCGGCCTCCCTTACCCTCTTTTCGGTTTTTCAGGATTAGTCCCCTGCAAATTCCGACGAGAGTTACACTAACCAAAGAAGGAAAACCCGAGGAATAGCCGTCGTCTCGGAGACTAGGATCTAGGCCCCTACGTTATATACCGATCGGCAAGAACCCTATGTTGCTTGCTATAGGATAAAAACAATCTAGCTATAGTAGCTAGGGACCGGTAAACTACCTAGGGTAGAAGCTGAACTGCCTAATAAAATACTGCTAGGGGCCCCCCCTAGAAGAAACTGGACTTGAACGAAGAGCGGAAGAAGGAGGAGATTGTTAGCTACCCTAGAACCAATCACATCTAACAAAGGGGGCAGGTGGGGTTAGAGAAGGCTAGGGCATCACGTAGTATAAAGGAAATAGAAGCGGGGAGATCAAATCGAAGAGTGGAGGTTTTCATCCGGCCTAGCGAGGGTACGGTTTCCTATACTAAACAAACCAGTAGAAGGACCGGCGCGCCGTAAGGCATATCGGTGTACGAATAAATAAATATATACGTAATAGCTTCTTAACTAGGGTGTTCCTCTCGAGCGTACTATAGCGTAGTAAGCAGTCTAAACCTAGATACTAGAGCCCTACCTTATATAGAGCGGCCTTAGCAACAATGTTAATATAGAATCCCTTAACTATAGCTATATTCTCTAATACTAGGTCCTTAGTAGCAGGTCTACAGCGGCCGTTAATTACGTTCTTAATAATGCGCCGGCTAGTACCTATAATCGGGTATATAGATATACCGGCCTTTACGTACTTATTTCCTTTAGCCTTAACGAAAGTGCTAGGGACGAGCAGATCCTTGCTATTAACAATGTAAATAGCACTATAGTTATTAACCAAAGTGCTTTTAGAGAGTAGGTACTTAGAAAAGGAGAGAGTAGAGAATACGCTAAAGGGTCCTATAATCGACAGATTAATTATAGTAGCGTTAATCGAACTAGGGTATCTACCTAAACCGCTTAATAAGGATTTGTCGACCTAACTACGTTCCGCTATAGTAGTACGTACCTCTTTCTAGCAGGGCTCCTTTAGCCGAGCAAGGATCTTAGCCTACTCTATATTAGGTAGCTACCTAAACTTACTAGGGACCCTAGTCACTACTATCTCGAGTATAAAACAGCGATTAGGCTTCTAACTATACTTGGTATTAGGCTAGTAGGGGTAGGGGTTCTACTTGGTTAAGGGGCCGCTACTAGTCTTAGCTTTAGGCGCGCGGCTACCCTATAATTAGCCCTAACCGAGCGTCGGGAAAGTAGTAAATAGGCTTAGGCCCTTAGCGGCAGTAACGCTAATCTCCTTATTAACTAGAGTAGTAAATATCCTCCTATATTCGTTAAGGGAGGGTACCGGTTAGCCTAGACTATCTACCTTAAGTAGATTAGTTACCTTCTAGCCTACCTAGTCTAGAGCGATCTTCGCCTAGAGTATATTAAGAAAGTCTTTTACTATAAGTATACCCTTAACGTCTAGGATATTATACGCCTAAGCGTTCTAGTAGGCTCTAGTCTAGTCTTAGAGCTAGACTATAGGGTCGATCTTACTGATCCTAGCGCGCTTAAGCACCCGACGGTATTCCTAGGTAACCGTTATTAAGACCAAGGTGTTAGTAGGAGTTACAAGCTTACAAAGGGAGACTATAAGCGGGTAGGTTCTAACCTTCCCCTCCCTATAGTTCCAAGTAAGGGCCGTAGTCTATAGACCGCCGTTAACCGTTAACTCGAGCTAGGCGTTAAGGGTAGCAATATATACTATAAGCTTATCCTAATTAGTACGCTCCGCCTTATAGTCCTTTCGTTCGATTAGGAGTTCGGCGCGTACTACCTTAGGGGTAGGATCCTCCTTAAGCTTTAGCCTAGATTCTAGAGTCTATTTAGCTTCGGGTTAGCGCTTCTAGTCTATAATAGCTATATTATACCGGATACGGCTCGCTTGTTAGAAGTCTTCTAGGACGCTCTATATAGTAGGAGCCTTAGGCTCCTCGGGCTCTAGAATACTAGTTGTCTTCGGGTTAACGTACTTCTAGACTTTGTAAATATCTTTAGCCTAGTAGCGGAACTATACGAACTACGTAGAGTAGCTAGCGCGATCTATAAGCTTAACGGAGGTAATCTTAGATACTAATATAATAATTTCTAGTAGGGTTAGCGATATACGATCGGAAAAACATATAGAAAAAAGTGTTCTAAATAGAGAGAGAAAAGAAATGCACTTCTATAGTATAATAGGGGTAGCTACGTACGACGTTCAGAGCACCGGGGTTATAACTATCGCACTAATAGAAGGCTTAGCGGAGGGCAGGGGGCAAGTTCAAATAGATAGAAAGGGATAATCCATTTAGAGAAAGAGAAGTGCTCTAATAGAGCCTATATATATATGAGAAGAGTGCACGTGAGCTTTGTACCAGAGGTATCAAGTTCCACTATGCCAAGGCGCTAAGCCCTACATCACGACAGATCAAAGATATTTAGTAGGACAAGATTAGTCTCTGTTACAGACATTGAATCTGAAATTCTAGGGGAAAGGGAGACGACGGTGTCACGAGAGCAGTATGACACTCGATGGGAAAAGCATGCAGGATGGAGTCTGTCTTTGTCCCAGCGGATGAAGCAATTGTCACAACGACAGACGTAGGCGAATATGTACCACAGACCCCATCTCACCAGCAACAATAAGCACCTGCCCGCATGGCTCAGTGGTAGAGCGTGTCACTAGTAATGACAAGGTCGTCAGTTCGATTCTGGCTGTGGGCAAATCTCTTTTCTTTTACTTTTGCGTGTGCTCTTCTCTCTTCTTTTCGCAGCGGGACAAATTCAGCTCAAGATCTCTATGCTGGTTGTGCCATCCTCAGTATCCCAAGCGCGCCCCAGTCACGGCGGTTGTCCAAAGAGGCGGCCGGTCCAAGGCCGAGCGCAAACCAGTGGAGCCGGCAATCTCACCGCACGATCCGCTGTGTCCAAGGCGCCCCGCAACACGCCGTGGTCCCGGCCAACTGCGTCTCCCAATCCCGACTCATTCCCCAATTCACACACACACTCTCACACACACTCATACACACACACACACGCGCGCGCCCACACAAGACGCAATGACCACCCCCCAACCCCCCACGACAGGCACCTCGCCGCCGCCAACCCCCCTACCGCTCCCCTCGCCCCTCCTCCGCGCGATGCACGCCTCAGACCAAGCCATGTACCCGGCCGCGCCGCCCTACGCCCGGCTGCGCACCTGGGTGGCTGCGTGTCCGGCGCTGTCCGTCCGCTTCTGGGACGCTGCTGCCGGCGGCGGCGGCGGCGGTGCCGATGTGGGCGTCATCATCGTGCTGCCGCTGCGCAGGGCGTGCTGGGAGCAGCTGCTCTGTGGGGCGGTGAAGGAGGGGGATGTGGAGGTGGGGGGGATGTTTCCGTCTGGGGCGGGGAGGATGGGGATGGAAGGTGGGGAGGGAAAGGGGGAGGAGGTGGGGCTGCATGTGTATCATGTTGAGAAGTTTGCCGTGGTGTCTGGAGAGAGTGGTCGTCGGCGTGGTTTGGGGGGTGGGGGGAAGGGGTTTGCGGAGTTTGCGCTTGGCGAGGTGATGCGTCGGGTGGAGGCTGGGACCGGGTGGAGGGTTGTTGGGCTGTCAGGTATGTGGCCGCGCTGGCTTTGCGGGGACTGGACAGAGACGCTGATATGCATACATGTTGGCGGGTGCAGCACTTACTGCCACGGCAGCGGGGAAACGGACGTTCGAGAGGATGGGCTTCAAGCCGACGGGCTACAGGGAGCTGTTCGTTGCCAAGGCCGCCCAAGGCGCACATGCTGACGCCAGCGGAACGGACAATCAGCAGGTGGAAATGGTCTGCCTCTATCCTGGTGGCGAAACCGGGGAAGGGGGGTCCGAAAAAGGGGCCGACGGGGTCGTCGTGTCGGCGTCCGAGATGACTGTCAAGTACAGCGTGTAACTCCCCTATACTTCGTTCTTTGGGCAGTCCGATGCTTGGCAAATATACAAGCTCGGCGTCTCCTGGTACTGTTTTGCAGGGCCAACAACATAATACTCGACCGGCGCTCTCGGATTGATACAAAACACCAACTGCCAGCGCAAATCTGCGAGTCAAAAAGGGGAGAGCCTCTGCGATTGTGTAATCGCGGGCGGGTTGACTTGATTCGATCCAGGATTGAACTGGAGACCTTCAGTGTGTTAGACTGACGTGATAACCAACTACACCATCGAACCTTGTGCGTTGAAGGTGGAGTTCGATGTCGGCGTTGACGAGGTCCCTTGGCAACCCGCAGAGCAGTAATAGCTGAGGAGGAAACAACCTAATGAACAAGCTTATGGTTTTTTTCCTTCGTGCATTTTGGCCTTGCCCCCTGTTTGATGTCGATTGCCTTCAGGCTGAGTGGTTGTGTGAATTTTGCCTTTCCTTTTTTTCATGTCGCTGCTGCAGCCGCCTGCGTGTGTGGTGTTTTCAGGGGCTGGGCCCTCTTACACGCATTTGGCTCCACTCTTTTTCTCACAAAACCCCTGAGCCCCTGGATCGAATATGCGGCAGCCTCCAACCATCTCTAGGTGCTGAAAAAGAGAATGCCGTCCATGTCGTTGCCCGATAATCCCCCATCTAAAGATGCAAAGAGACTGTAAAGGAACCCTTAGTGAGGTGCGTCCCTAGATGAAGGAACTCCAAACCGCAAAAGGAAAGGTCTTGCCCGGAATCGAACCGGGGTTACCAGAATGCTGGGATCAGAATCTGGAGTGATAACCGCTACACTACAAAACCTGCACGATTTCTTGGGTGTTGGGCTGGAGTCTTGGAAACCCCATTGATCAATGGCCGATCGAACCGTGAAACTCCACATTTGGAAATGGCTTTGTTGGCTCCACTTTGGGCGAGGGAAAAGTCCAACTGAACTTCAGTGGGATGATGACGGTTGAGGAGTCAGGACAGCTTGTGCAGGGCCAAAAGTAAGTATGTATGTGACATGCGTGGAAACCCTCCAGACTCGAACTAAAAGCTCCGTGGTCTTGCGGTTTGTGCCGCGTGTATGATGTGACAGTGGCTTCCTAGTGGTGCAGGCCATTGTTCAGTGAGCGTCCTGGACCCGACAGTTCAACTGCCGGACTAGTGGGTTTGGTGATGTATAGCTCATTGTCACCGCTGTCGGCGCTGAGACGGGCGAAAATCCCAGACCGTGGTGTCGATTGTCTGCCTTGAGTGTTCTAACTGAATGTGATTAGCAAAGGTAAACCGGGGAGATAGAGAGAACACTAGTCGCCATTGCTATTATTGACTCATTGAGTAACCAGCCTGAATTAATTGCTTCTTCTCCCTGCACTTATGCGGCGAGGCTTGGAACGTGAATGGGCTATCGAGTGCTGTTTGGAGCTTAGTCCTAGCGAGCTTGGTTCCGACGGCGACCCTGTAAGGGAGTTAGATTGTGACCGTCGGACCGGCAGCCGCTAGTTATATAGCATCAAATGGCAAAGTAGAGCGCTTACTTCTGTTGTTGTTCTTTGTAATGGTGGAAAATATAGGCTAAACCATACGAGCTGCCCCTGTATAGCGACTTGTGATGTTGGTCGAGTCAAAATGGGGAACAAGAAATGGAGTTTCTGTATTTTAATCCAGTGTATGGCGGCTGATCGTTCTTTCCAAAAATGTGTATCGACTGAGGATTGCACGCTGCAGGACATAGAACCTGTATTCTTGGGCCAAGCGCCCGAGATGGACAGAAGTTAGATAAGACACCTTGTAATTTACTCAAGTTCATAGTTCGGTCGAACTGGTCGTGCTTCATTCACATTGACCGAAATATGTTAAGTTCAGTGCCTAGCAGGTGACAGGTCGTCCATGCCCTCCAGCACTTCCAACTTCAGATAATCACAGGATCGACCATCAGGATTCTGACTTTACAGCATTTTCCGTCTGTACCTAGTCTATTGACGACGGAACTGCTGGTTAAAAACTTGCCATGCCACACCTACCTGGAGACTAGCAGCTAGTGAGGCGCGTTCAGATCATCACTAAGGGACCGACTTAGCACCTAGACACTGTAGATGACCCAAAAACACCTCAGAGGACACCTTGTTTCATTCATGGGAGTAAATGATACCTAAGCTAGATGCCAAATCCCCATGTTGTTTCCAGCATCTCTGCTGATATCTGTTGTCCCGTTCGTGCGCCGGGCGCGGCTGTTTGCGATCATGACCACCCAAGCTTAGGCTGCCCAAACATCCGTCTCTAGCATCGGCGCGTCAGTGGCACCGTTCTCCTGGGCTCCGTAAGCCGTAGCCTCAGTGCCGTTGTCCTCAGCAACACCAACTGCCGTAGTCCCAACAAGGCCCATATCGACCATCCAGGCGGCTGTCGCCCACGGCCGGTGCTCAAACTGGGGAAGTTCCAGCTGCTTCGCGAGACCTTGTTTGTTCTTCAGTCTTCGCTGCGTCTCTGCCGAGGTGGAATCGTAAAGCGGTCCGACAATCTTGTGATACTCGCGCCGAATGGCTCCGAATTCCTTCTCCCTCTCCAGGATCTTGGCCGCCACGACCTCGTCGTTGGGCTTGACCCCGCGCTCGATCAGCGTCAATGGAATAGGTCTCCAATCCCTGTCCGATAGGAAGGCCGGCAGCGCATCGTAGCTCTCGTAGGCAGGGAGGATGCCCACAGCCTCCCAGTCGACGATCCCGGCCAGCTTGTACGTGACCGGGTCGACGAGCATGTTGTGCTGAGAGAGGTCGTCGTGCCAGAGCACCCCAACATCTTCCGGTCCGTTGTCCTGCGGGACAAGCTGCGGCACGAGAGCCGTGAGCTGGGAAAAGACCACGTCAACGAGTCTCTTGTGGCGCGCCAGCGCCTCATCACTTCCGCAAAAGTAGGGCTCTCCTGGGGTAGTCGACAGGTTCTGGATACGCTGACCAAGAAGGTTCATTCGGGCGTCGACCAACTGCCGTGTCGTCTGGAAGGGCCCGCGGGAGCCAGAGAAGTGCACACGTTTGTTGAAGAAGAAGTCCTGGGAGACAATGCGGCCGAGCACAAAGGGGCCGTTCAGACCAATCCGGCCATTAACGCCATTGACGCCATTGGTGCCATTGGTGCCATTGTTGCTGTTGGGTGTGGCCAACAATGAACGGCCTTCCACCCGATCAGCGACATCTGCAAAGTAGATACTTCCAAAGTTGTTGAATCGGAGGGAAAGGAGCTTTTTGGCATGGCTGGCCACCTCGGCAAAGAACTTGATTCTGGCTGCCTCCGCCATCTTGTCCCAGACGGTGCGGAGAGGGACTCCTTGCATCATCTCCATGAGAATCCATTCATATCCCAGTTCGTTGGCGTTGCTCGAACAAAAGGCAATGACGCGTGGGACGGGGATCGATGTGTGCTGTCGCACATATTCCATGGTGGCGACCTCGCTCTCGGTCTTGAAGAAGGGTTCGACGGGTATCGAGATGCGGAAGATGTAGGTCGTGGTCCAATCGGGGCTGGAGATGCTGTAGAGGCGATTGAAGGTGCCAGCAGAGAAGTACTTTATCTCAGCGTCGGCAAACAGGGGGAACTGCTTCACAAGCAGCCCGCGGATGCCGGGAATCCAGGCATCAAGATCGACCTTCCCCGGCCAGTGTCGCTCCAGATACCCTTCGACTGCCTGGCTTCTCCAGTAGCGGTGGAGATCGTTGGCTGTTTTGACCGGGTCGAATTGGAGAGTTGGGGCGACGCGGATTGGATTCATTGGAAAACTGGTCTCAGGAAACCGGGGATCCATGGTGAGGGAAAGACTTCTTGGATGACAATGGAAGATTGAAAATTTGAAATTGGGTTTGCAAGATGCAGGAAAAGAAATTGAAAAAGACGAATGGCGGGAAGAGCAGGAGGAGTAGGAGCAAAATATGATCTGGGAAAGAACGACGGAGGCGCACTGTGAAGGGCGTTGATTTGCTTGCCATGCTAGAAGAGTTTTCCTTGTGGGTAAACTGGTACTTATAGTTTCCCGTTTCTGGCAACACAATAGCAGAACCTCCTGTAACATGGTCACAAGGTTTTACTTTCCCGTGGGCGTGGGGGTTAAGGGGGAGCAGGACGGGAAACTAGCTGTTGTTTAAGATCTTTCAAAGATCATTGGAAAACCATAGGGTACAAGTTGGTTACAGACGTGAATTGTTGAAACTGGCATTCTTTGAGGTAATTATCCTCCCCTAATGGACAGTGACTATCTTCACCGTTGTGGTTTGGATGTGGTGTTGTTTAGGGACAACTTGGGCTTCTTGTCTCTTGTTCATACATGCTTCCCATTTTGGCCCGTTGACAGAGCCACCGCCCCCTGGTGAGCTAAGCTAAGCTCGGTTTCATAAAGTGAAAGTCACAGCGGACCGTCACTCCACCCCACGTACTTTGTATTCCCTGGTCTCGGTGTCACCCAAGCAAAGTGTCTTGCGTATGCCAGGCCCAGGACTTTCATTTGACAGCCACAAAGGCCTTTTAAGATGTGTTGGCAGAAATTCGATACCAGCAATACCAACAGACCCTACCAGGGAGTGGGTGGAGCTCCAAGGCTGGGTAAGTCGGTTATATCTACCTATTTATTTCTGTAATCGCTTATATCTGAAGCTCCAAAGAAATCCGAGAGGTGCTGTGAAGAGATTATCAAGCTGATTCCGAGGCTAAACCTTTCCAAAGAGGCCCTGCGGCGTGGTAAGCTTCGTCACAACCACAAGAATACCGCCAAACAAGCAGACGACGCCGCTGAAGATGGACACCTGGAGAAACCCGCCATACTTGTCCACCAGCACTCCGTTGACAGGGGGTCCGACCAAGGCTGCACTGGAGCCCACCGCCATGCCCATGCCCATGTACGTTCCCAAGTTACGCGGATCATCGGTACAGATGGAGATGGCGGCCGATACTCCTGAGATGATGGTTCCTGAGGTAAAGCCAAGCACAATCGAGTAAACCACCAGCCCCGCCGTGCTCGTCGCGCTGTTGAGACACAGGACCACGATCCCAGTCGCGATTCCACCCAGCCCAAACGTGTTCAGTCTCCCGTACTTGTCGGCCAGCAGACCGGGAATAATCCGCCCAAAGGTCGACGCCCCGTTGACAATGGCGAGCAGGTACGAGGCCAGCGTGGGATTCACTCCCCTGGTAACCGCGTAGGACGGGAGGAAGAACAGCGGCGTAAACATGCCGATCATGCAGCAGAACATGGCAAAGACCAGGGCCACATACTTGACATCCCTGAACGCCGAGAGGATGAAGAAGTTGGTCCGCCGCGGCGGCAGTCGGGGTGCCACAGTAGCACAGGAAAAGGCGAGCAGAGGCGCCACGACAAGCGCCATGATGCGCACCGACCAGCCAAAGCCAAGGGCCGAGTCGTTCAGCATCTTGGACAGCGCAATCGGGAAGACGATGCCGCCGATGCTGGAGCCCGACACAACGAGGCCCATCGCGGCGGCCCGCTTCTTGTCAAAGCACTGCGCGACAGCCGCAAAGGCCGGGACCTGCAGCATGGACATGGCGAGGCCGGTGAGCACGCCCTGCGCGAGCATGAACTGCCAGTACCTGGTGCACAGGCTGGTCATCACGAGGCCGAGGACGTAGAGCACCGCGCCGGGGCGGACGACCTGGCTCTTGTCAGCTCCAGACCCAGCAGCTTGGCAGGGGGGGATAATGATCGCCGGCGCTTACCCAAGTCCCGTACCGGTCGAACAGCGGCCCGGCGATGGCGCCGCCCGCGAACTGGAGGAAGGACATCAGGGATCCGATCCAGGCCACCTTGTCTGGCGATT